TGGCCTTTTAGGCTTCCTACACGTGAATAGGCATTCCCTTTTTGAATAATAAGACTTATATGTCGGGGGCAGAGGGATATCAGGATTTTAGAGATGCTTAGGTGGGACATGGCCAAAAAAAGGTTGGGAACCACTGGTCTAAATGTTAGTAATCATGACTCAGAATGCAGATACTACCTAACATAAAAATCTCCAATTAATTAATGCCACCTGATACCACTTCTCACTCAAACATCATGCACCTGAGGTACAATGATAAACTGAACCTGAAACTTGTTAAATATATTTTCACAACACTGGGGGTTTTTTGTTGTTGTTTTTATTGGTGACCACTTTGAAATTTCCTAAACTTGGCAACATTTAAGTTCTACCCTACCACCTGCATAAAAAACAAGGCCTGGAAGCTAGCTCCAAAAGGCCATTAGGACACAGGAGGAGTTTCGGGTTCTTTTTTCCCAAGGCAGTATAAGGCAGTAATTCGAGTTTACACTATGGAAAGAAGGGAGGTAGGGTAGTCAGGGCCTAATGCAGGTCAGTATATATGCACAGAAAGGAAGGATGTGGTATGGAGAAACAGATACGCATGGCCAATCAAACACTGTTTTTAAAAATCTGACATTCTTTCTTTTATTGGCTTCTTTTTTAAAAAAATCTTTATTGCTGTATTACATATGTTCTCTTTTTCCCCCCATTGATCTCTTCTAGCCCATCCTTGCCCATCCCCCAGGCCTTCACCATCCTATTGTCTGTGTCCATGGGTTATGCTTATTTCATAAAAGTTTTTTGGGTGCTCTCTTCCCACCGACCCACCCACCCCCGCCTTCCCTCTGAGATTCAGCATTCTGTTCTATGCTTCTATGTCTCTGAATCTATTTTGTTCATCAGTTTATGTTGTTCATTAGATTCCACATATGAGTGAGATAGTGTGATACTTGTCTTTCTCTGACTGGCTTATTTCGCTTAGCATAACACTCTCCAGGTCCCTCCACGCTGTCTCAAAGGGTAAGAGATCCTTCTTTTTGCTACTGCATAGTATTCCATGGTATAAATGTAGCACAGCTTTTTTATCCACTCATCTACTGATGGGCACTTGGGCTGTTTCCAGATCTTAGCTATTGTAAATTACGCTGCTATGAACATAGGAGTGCATGCATTCTTTCTGATTGGTGTTTTGGGTTTCTTAGAATTAACTGAATCTGGAAGAATTAGAAAACCTGAATCGGCCAATAATTACTGAGTAAATTAAGCAGTAATCAAAAAACTCCCAGCAAACAAAAGCCCTTGTCCAGATGACTTTACAGGGCAGTTTTACCAAACATTCAATGAAGAACTAACACCTATCCTCCTCAAACTATTCCAAAAAAAATCCAAGAGAAAGGAACACTTCCAAGCTATTTTTATGAGGCTAGCATTATCCTAATTCCAAAACCAAATAAAGGCACTAAAAGAAAGAGAACTACAGGCCAATATCCCTGATGAACATAAATGCCAAAATCCTCAACAAAATATTAGCAAATGGGATCCAGCAACATATTAAAAAGATCAGACACCATTACCAAGTGGGATCGTTTTTTAACTTTTAAAAAATTGTGCTTTTAATGGTGTTTCTGCTTTAATTGGAAATGGGCTTAAAATTATACTTTATAGTATTCATTTTACCAGCAAGTTGAATAATTTCATTTAGAACAAGCATGGTTAAGTTATAGTATAATGATATACTTAGTATTTCAGCCAGCACAATAGTTCTAAGACAGGTGAATATACAATAGTTCTAAGAAAGACCCATTTCTTCAGACAAAAAGACCAACTGAACATTGTCTAAAATGACCTGAGAGGGAGGAGATAATTCTGTCAATTATGAATTACAAAGCTGTTGGCGATTTCCTCTCTTACTAGTATAGATGTTTGCATGAACTGAAACTTTTGATAACCACTATTTAGAATTCCATTTTCACTTGTATTATCATTAATTGATGAACATTAACTCCATTAAAAATAATGGCCATGTAAAAAGAGCTCAGAAAGTGTAATGGGAAATTCTTGGTCATCTATCAGGCACAGCTTGATATTAGCTTCAACTATGCATATTTTCCAGAAAGTTTTATACCTTATATTTCATCATATAAGTATAAAATTATAGAGTAAAAAATAAATTCAGGCAATGGATTTGTCAAATATGTTCTATCCTTAAATAAAGCTTTGAGTCACAATGCAACCAAAGATAAGAAACAAAGAGGCAGAATTAAAATATATATATTTATAAAATGTATTATAAATATATTTTGATGAGAAACAGAGGACATTTTCCTAAGAAACTGTGCTATATTATAAAACATATGCTTTGTTAAATGTTCATATAATTTTCCAATAAATGGATTGTATTTTGACTGCACAACATTTCTACAACTTAAAAGTATGACTACTATATCCTATCAGGATCACTAATTAGCTTAATTCCTGAAAATTAAACTTGTCAACTTCAATGAAACTTAAATCTTAAAAGTAACTCCCATTTTGCTTCCAAGTTCTGAGAAAGTGTATATTTAATTCTTCTAATCCACTTACATATGAATCATGTGAACTAAATCCATTTCATAGACTTCACTCAGGCATCATGGTTCAGTTTCTTAAATTATTTCAAGAAATAGATGCTTATAAGCATTTTTATTATATAATAATAATGCCATTAATGCTTAGCATTTCCTCATTGTTCTCCTGAAAACAAATATAAAATTCTAGATAAAATAAAAATTTAAAAGTCATTTCAGGAAACAAATTTTAAAATAATACTAACTTCACATGTCTAGAATAGAACGTCTAGCTGGTGAAATTACCATGTCATCACATTCATTATAATAATGCCTATATTCAATCTTATAGACATTATATAGTATTAAAATAACTCACCAGATACTGCTCTACTTCATGAAAAACAGTGCCATTGACACTAGAATTTTAAAAATATATTTCCTTTTAATATTTCTTCCTTTATGTCCTCTTAACACAGAGTCCTTTTTTATTCATATGCACTTCTAATTTGAAATCCTGATATTGGTTTGCACTATCCAATTTAAATATTTCAAGTGACAAAAAGACAACATGACCAAATATATATCCCCTTTGATAAGAATTAAGCACCTACACTATTCTGAATCTTCTTCAAAATTTGTCACAAAATTACCAACAGGATAAAAGAGAAATACAAGCAATAGAATATGGATTTTCACTAATTCATTTTTGAAAATGTACCAGTAGAACTTACAAAAACATGTGAGACTAAATCAAAGTCATGTTATTTTATTTTACTGTATTATAATTTCCTATTTAGCCCAAAATTCTTCACATATAAAATATTCCACTAGTTGGCTAGATGACAACATTGGAAACTCTGTTCAACACAAGATGTCTAAAAAAATTAGGTTGATTTTAACCACATTATCATTTAAAGAAGGCAATTAAATTAGCCAGAAAAACAATACTGAAAAAGCAGCCTTGGGAATAACTTTTTTCTCGTAGCCATTACCAAATCCCTATTGGACTGATTAATTATGCCAGAAAAGAAGCATAAAGCTGAAGAAAGGGCACTATCACTACTTGTCTTATCTAAGAACTCATAAAAGTAAAAGGCTCTAACCATCTTATTAGATTCTCTAATACGTAAATGCTGCTACTTTTCTGCAGTTTGCTTAATATTACTAGTCATTGCATATGTTTCTTTTTGCTCGTGTAAAAAATCTTAATTCCAGCTTAAAATTTTTTCAAACTACTAATTCAGAATATGCCCCTTTGCTTGCAAAACACCATTACCCCCAATAAAAAGCATGCACAAAAGAATTCTAGAAGAAAATTAAAACGCACAAATTTCTATAACACAACCAGCCCTTGGTGACCATCAATCTCACCAGATACTGCTCTACCTGCTAAACCAGCGGTTCTCAACCTGTGGGTCGCGACCATTTGGGGGGTCAAATGACCCTTTCACAGGGGTCGCCTAAGACAATCAGAAAACACATATATAATTACATATTGTTTTTGTGATTAATCACTATGCTTTAATTATGTTCAATTTGTAACAATGAAAATACATCCTGCATATCAGATATTTACATTACGATTCATAACAGTAGCAAAATTACAATTATGAAGTAGCAACGAAAACAATTTTATGGTTGGGGGTCACCACAACATGAGGAACTGTATTAAAGGGTCACGGCATTAGGAAGGTTGAGAACCACTGTTTAATCTAAACATTTATTGAACGATCATGGACCCATTGCCTGATGGGCTCTATAGTTTCTCAAAAAATGGTGGATGACAGTCACTTGCTTCTTTTTTTGAAACTATGAACCTAGAGTCTTAAATAGATTGCAAATATCATTCCACTGCATTTTATAGAGTTGATCAGTTTCAGCCCCGACATTCTAATACTGAATAACTTATCAGCCACAACGAACATGCATATGTAGCAATAGGCACATATGTATTACAAAATTATTTTATAATGATATTTATAATCTATATTTTATAATGTAAAATAAGAATTATAATTCTTAGAGGGAAAACGCATGCCAAAAGTATCTATTCCTATAAAAATGATACTTCAAATGCACATGAAAACTTTTCACTTGAATACACTGGATCACTTTCTGGGCATTTCAATAAATATGGTACATAATCATACCTTTATTGGGGCACAGATTTTGTGTTTTTCATTCTTAGTATGTTTTTATGTACTTATACTTATAATATTGATGATCCGCCTTTACATTCAGGAATTCTACAATTTATTGTATTTATCAACTTTCAGGCATCAGTACTCAACTCCCTGAGTACTTTAATCTCTATATCATATCTCCTTCATAGGTCAAAAGAGTTCCTCAAAACCATTTAGATCACGAGAGAAAAATTATTTCCTCTAATTTACGATATAACTTCAGTGGGTCTCCAATCCCCTCACATAATATCCAAACCTCCATCCCATTTCCCTTGTTGGCACCTACCCTAGTGTTGTCATGGTGACAATGGTATACCAGAAGGCCGCAGGAATGCTGGTGAACTTGGTGGCGGAAGACCCCTTCTCGGCGTAGAACATCACGGTCGCGAAAATGATGATAGCCATGGTGAGCGAGAAGAGCAAGAAGCCCAATTCGGACGCACAGCTCTTGAGGGTGTAGCCCAGGATGCGCAGGCCTTGCGAGTGGCGGGAAAACTTAAAGATCCGGAAGACACGGAAGACGCGGAGGGTGACAAAGGCCCCGCTCACATCCTCATTGTCTGTCATGACCAGCCCGATGTAATAAGGCAGGATGGCCACCACGTCGATGATGCTCATGACGCTCCGGACGAAGCGGTAGCGACTGGGGGCCGCAGCCAGGCGCAGCAGGTACTCCACCGTGAAGATCATGACGCAGGCCGTGTCCAGGCAGAAGAAGGCCACGGCGTACCGCTCCCCGCAGGGCAGCTCCTTGATGTGCCCCGGGCTGGACCCACAGGGCACCGTCTCCACCACGTTCGCGATGACCGAGACGGCGATGAAGAAGCCGGTGACATAGTAGAACACCAGGGCCATCGTGCTGGTGTGGGGGTTCTCGAAGGCCCGCCAGACCTTCTGCCGGGCAGTCATGGTGGGCAGCGCGTTCTCGCCGGTGCTGTCCGAGTCCGCGTCGTCCTGCAGGCGCTCGGCGTTCTCCCGCCGGCGGTCCTTGTACTCCTCGTAGCAGCAGTCGCCGATGATCTCGGGGATGAGGCCAAAGAAGGCCAGCTCTTCGTCGTAGGCGGAGATGCACTCGTGGCGAGGATAGTGGAGCTTGCCGGTGCGGTAGAAGTTCAGGATGTGGCGGAAGATGTCCGGGTCCCGGTCAAAAAAATACTGCTGGGTCTCCGGGTGGTAGAAGAAGTCCCTCTCGGAACTGCCCAGCAGGGTGTCCGGGTACCGCTCCAGGGTGTCCTGCCACGTTTGGAAACGGGTGCCACTCACGTTCAGCACGATCAGAGCGTCCTGGGTCCTTTTTCTCTCCTGCCTCGGGGGAGCTGGCATGGGGCCCGAGGCCACGGGCATCCACCCGATGGCCGCTGCCCTGGCAAAGGGCAGCCATGCCGCTACCCCCGCAGCCATGGTGCCTTGACGTGGAGGCCAGACGGGCAATCGGGCCTGGACAGTAGGTCAAAGTAGCCCCAACCACCCACTCCCTCTGGTCAAGTAAACGCTCCAGAGGAAGGCGGCCCAGGGGTATCACTCCTATTCCTCGGTGGGGCTCCTGGTGAGGTCACAGTTTTCAGGAGGGCAAGTTGCCCTCCAAGACAGCTATTTGCAAAATACAGGGTCCTAGCAATCACGCCCAGACCTTTCCCGGCAGGTGGACCAGGCCACTCCTGGTACAAATAAGTACACAGGTGGCTTTGAATACAACGATTTCTTCAAACAGGTGTCTTTGCTTCCTCCTCTGACACGCGGAGAGCGTGGGGTTGGTTTGCTTTGTGTAGTAGTGTAGAGACAACCAAGGACAGTCGCTCAGTGGTATTCTTACCACGAATCCAGGAACGCTTCCCACCTTCCCTTTGGCTCTTTCCAACCTGCCTTTTTCAAGTGGCCCTTCCCGCCAACGGAGTCTCAAAAAGGCGACCTGTTGTAGCTTCCCAGATGCGATCACCGCCACTGCCCCAGGTCTCTTGGGGAGTCCGGCGGCCACCTCTGTCCCTCGGGCTGTATTTATAGAGGCGGGAGCGCTGTGGGGCGGGCGCGGTGGGGGCTTCCGTAGAGATCCTCCTGCCCTGATCTGCAAGCACCCCTCGTGTCTGCCCGAAGCGTTCGTCCAGTCGCCCCTTCACTCTCTGTTCAAGTTCAGCTCAGGTGCAGGGTGACAGTTCCAGAGCCCGGGAGCTGGCAGCCGCCACCGCCTGGGCGGCAGCAGCATCTGTCTGCACCCAGAACGCGCCTCGCCTGCGGTCCGTCCCTGGCCGAGCGTGCACCCGGGCTGAGTTGCATAGAGACTTTCTCCTCGCCGAGCACCGGGAAAGGGAGAAGCAGACGGAGCAGCTCGCCCACCGCCGAATCCGGGCGCCCGGGGAGCATCAATGAAGCTCAAGCGAGCTCAGCTGCCCCTTCCCCCATCCTGCCGAGCTTCCCTCCTCTTGTTCACCTTCCCAAAGCCGGACGCAGGCCGGCAGAGCGGCAACAGCAACAAGTTCAAAAGGTGCGGGGGAGGCGAACCGAACGGACTCGCTCCTGCCAACTTACTGCGCCTCGGCGGACGCCGCGGGGCCCGGATCGGCACGGAGCGGGGCGGCGGGTCGCCCGGGGCTGCGGGACGGTCTGTGGCACTGCGGGGCCGGAACCGGTGCTCCTCAGGAGAAACGCTCGACGCCGGAGACTTGAAGGCGCTCGGAGCTTCGGGTCCCCGGAAGTATGCTGGTTGCTTCCCCCACAAGGGGACGTACTGTGATTCCCCCCGTCACTCCCGTCCCGCAAAGTTCGAGTGGAGTACTCGAGAGGGACAAGAGAAAGGATTGATCCAAGTGTCAGAGCCGTCCGTGCCGGTCCTGCCGGTAGACCCCAGCTCCCTATAGGCTTTCAATTATTTATGCTCCCTAACCAACGCGTTGGGTTTTACCTTAACTAGCTTCCTTTTTAACTGTCCAATGACTGATTTGCGGTTGGTTTACACAGAATTATTGTATTGGGTTAATTCAAGTAGCCTTTACTCATGTCA